GCTAGTGTGGTCTTTCTAATCTGAGTTTCAAGGGAAACCCCTTCACTTGGCATAGGGGAAGCCTTAAAGAGAGGTTGAACAGGGTTGTGGCTAATGATAGTTGGCGCCTCTCATTTCTTAATTGTACTGTTATCCATATCTCCCTTCTAAAATCTGATCATTCCGGGCTTTGGGTTAAAATTAGAAATGAAAATGAGATTGGGCAAATTAGTAATAATTTTAAATTCCTTGCCCCTTGGCTATCTCATCCTGGCTTTCATAATCAGGTCAAGCACTCTTGGATACCTTCTAATTCTTGGATAGATAATGTATCTAATTTTAAGATTAATATTGCTTATTGGAATAGGAATGTGTTTGGTAACATTTTTCATAAAAAAAAAGTGTCTCCTCTATAGAGTAGAAGGAATTTCTAGAAAATTAGGTTTTGAGAATAATCCTTTTCTTACTAACATCATGAGAACCTTACGGAAGGAGTACCAATGTATTCTTGATCAAGAGGAAACATCAGAATTGGGCTATGAATCCCTTTGCTTTGCAGTCCATGGCCCTAGGCTATTTTAAGGCCTTATACTTTGATCCTAATCCTTATGCTCAACACTTAGTCTTCGTTTCCCCCTCTTAGAGATATTGATGTCAGGCTGTTCTCCCTTACTATTTCAATTGAAGAGGTCAAGGCTACCTTTTTCAATATGGATAATTTTAAGGCCTTTGGGCTTGATGGGTTTTATGCCCTATTCTTTAAAAATCAGTGGCATTTTTTGGGCCAGTTCATCTATAGTTTTGTCTTGAGTGTTTTTCAAAACCCTAGGAAAATTATTGAGGTGAATGAAACCTGCATAACCTTAATTCCTAAAACTGATCATCCAATATCCATTGGATAGTTATATGATTATAACCAAGATTCTAACTAATAGATTAAGGGATTCTCTGGCCTACTTAATTTCTGTTAATCAGTGCAGTTTTATCCCTAGAAGGCAAGGGATTGATAAATCTCTAATACTCCAAGCAATTGTGCACTCCTTCCACAACGTTAGAGGCCGAAATGAGTTTATGATCATCAAACTTAATTTAGAGCAAGCTTATGATAATCTGAGACGGAACTTTGTCATAGATACTCTGATTAGAGTTGGCCTAAATTCTGATATGGTAGAACTAATTCAAGTCTGTATTTCTTCCCTTTCTATGGTTATCAATTGGAATAACAAAACCTCACTAGAGCCTTTTAGCCTACTAGAGGCATTCATCAAGGGAATCCTATATCCCCTTATCTGTTTGTGCTATGTATAGAAAGGTTGACCCACCTTATTTATGATAGTATCTTTAAGGATTCGGTTCCTTTTACCTTTGGCTCTCAAGAGCTGCATATCTCCAATCTACTGTTTGCAGATGATATTATTTTGGTGGCTAAGGTTGATCACCATCTTAGACATCAAATCAGTGAGGTTCTAGGTATACACACATCTAGTCAGTTGGGTAAATATATGGATATCCACATAAATCACCTTAAGTATTCTATAAAAAACAATTCTCTTTTCTAGTTGACAAAGTTAAGAAAAAACTCTCTCTAGAGAATGTCTTCCTTCTCCATGGTTGGTAGGGTTATTCTAGCCCAGTCTTGCCTTATGAGTATCCCATCCAATGTTATGCAATCTGCGTCCATTCCTATTGCACTGTGTAATGAGTTTAATAGCCTTTGTAAGAAATTCATTTGGGAGTCACTGAGCACTAGAAAATGCCACCTAGTTGGTGGGAATAAAATCAGTAAGCTTAAAAATGAGGGTGGATTAGGTTTCAAAGATCTTCATATGCTGAATAAGGCATGTTTAATGAAACTATGTTAGAGGATCTGCACCTCTCGTAATGACATCTAGGTTCAAGTGTTGTGTAGAAATATAAATTTTTTATTGGTCAAATTTTGGGTTCTAGGTCCAATAATAAAGCTTCTCTTCTTTGGAGGGGTATATCTTTAGTTTGGCCTCTGTTCTCTAAAGGCCTTCATTGGAAATTAAGGTATGGCCTTTTAGCAAGATTCTAGACAGACCAATGGATTCTTAACTGTCCTAATCTGGAATCTCTTTCTCTACATCCTATTCCTAAAAAGGAACTGGTAACCCTGTTTATCTGTATACCCTGTTTATTTGTATACTGACAATGGTTGCTGGGATGCAACCAAGTTAAGCTCTCTGCTTCCTAATCATATATGTGGAGAACTTGTGAAAATTAGTCCTCCCATCCTTTTTGGTCAACCAGATTCAGTTTTTTGGACTATGTCTCATAATGGTATTTTTTATGTTAAAACAACTTATCAGTTGATTTCTCAGGCCTATTATCCTCTTTCCCCCTATTTTGAAATTTTTAAACCTGTTTGGGATTGGGTTGGCCCTCCTAAAGTGAATTTTTTCCTTTGAAAAATCTTTCATGGTAGATTGTTCACTAACGAAGAAAGGGCCAAAAGGGGGTTGATTGTTGTTGCTTTTTGTTCTAGATGTGGTGCTGATATTGAATCTATTATGCATGTTCTGCGTTGTTGTTTTTGAGTTAGAAAGGTTTTAGATCATTTTATTTTTTCTGATCATTGGGCTTGGTTCTTCTCTGCAGGTTTGTCTGATTAGATTCATAACAATTTGTCAAATCCCTGTTTTAGTCATTTTAATAATTGGCAAAGACTGTTTGGCTTTATTACTTATCATCTCTGGAGAGATAGAAATGCTTTTGTTTTTAATAATAGCTCTGTCCAGCCCTTTGTTTTAATCCAGAAAATTATTTGTGATGCTAAGTTTTCTGATTTGTATTGCAGGATGATCAATTTTCTATCCCCAAAATTGCTATGGGTTGTCCTAGGATCATATGGGTTCCGCTTCCAAGGGGTCAACTAAAGCTAAATTCTAATGGGACTGTGAGTGGCAATCTAGATAATGCTACCTGCAGTAGAATTCTCCGAGATTGGAAAGGCAATTTGTGGCTGGGTTCTACTATTCTCTGGCCCCTGCTCTCCCCTAGAAGCTGAGCTATGGGGCATTTATAATGACATTCAAATCCTTCTCCAAATGTCTAGCCAGTCTGTTTGGTGGATTGAGTTTGATTTTTGTGAGGCTATTGCTTGTATTCAGTCCATTCACCACCATTCCCATCCTTTGTATTATGTTATTTGTAAAATTAAGGACAACACTAAGCTTGTTAAATCTGTTAGGTTAAGCCATATTTTCAGGGAAGCTAACCAATGCGTAGATAGACTAGTCAAAATTGGTCTAGAGTTGTTTTCCTCCTTAGTTAGATTGGATCAAGCTATTTATGACTTGCTCCTATCTTTAGTTTTGAACCAATGCAGCTCTTAGCTTCCTAAGCTCTTCTCTTAGTTTGTTGTGTTTTCTAGGCTGTTAGCCCCTTTTCTTAGTAATTTTTTTTAATTTAAACAATAATATGTGCAAAATATTATACCAGTGTGCCCAATAGATCATGCAAACTCTAATGCATAAGTAAAATTATTAAACAAAACATGCTATTATAATTTTAAAATCAATTGTCTACAAAGTAAAAAAATTAGTTTAGTGATTATCAATCTACGTTCTGAAAACAAATTTTAAACTTCAATGGAAAGTAACAACCAAGATGGCATACACGAACAAGCAAGATCTTTCTTTTGTACTTGTTTGATGATGTTATTTCCCTCGTCCCATAGCCTATGTCACCATGTGACCAACATGTTGACATCAATGATAAAATAAATGAATTTTTTTATTCAAATTAATTTATTCATATTAATTTTTTAAGTGCTCATTTTATAGTGCATACTTTAATTTAAAAGATAATTTTTTCCTATATATACATTTCATTTTATAGTGCTTATCAAAAAAAAAATTTAAACGGATTCTTACCAAGCTATTCCTAACACGTGAATAAAAAATGAGTGCATGATTTTATAAACCATCGCAAACTATAAACTAGCTAATTTACACATTTTATTATTTTTTGACTATTTCATCCGATTTTAACTATTTTTCAAAGTTTCAAATTTATGATTTATTCGGACTAGTCACTTTTTTTATACAACCGAGTGAATTGACTGATCCAATTTTCAAAACTGTGCTTTCATATATGTCAAAGGAATCCAAATTACCTGCAATTCAAATTGTTGCAGCATACAAGGTGGTGCAATTCTTATAAGTACATACTCTTTATACCAAATTTTAGTTTTATTTCATATATGAAAATCATGGAGATCTTTGCATATCTTAGGTATAAAATATTTTATGGAAGCTAATATTGTGAATATTTTATATAAGATTGTACAACGATAGTTTCAAAAGAGTCTAATTATATTGTTCTAAATAATTTATTTATTTTCCTTCTTTCGACATTAATTATAGAAAAATGTTAACAACACGCTAATATTCTTTATTTTATACACTTCTACTTAATGAAATCTTATGCTGAACTAATAAAAAGTTCTGAGTTGTAAAATCAACCTGAAATTCCAATCAATAATAACATTGAAAATATTTATACACATTCAACTTGATTGCTATAAAAGCCTTATTGATTTAAGGCATCAAATTAAATATATATGAAGGATATATGTTAAGATATTGTTAATTTAAAAGATAGAACATAGCACAAGTTTAAATAAACTTCTAAAGAAATTTTTATAGAAAAAATAATAATATAAAAATAAATAAAATTTTCTCATGAGTTAGAAACAACTTATCTTTTCAAATTTTAGAGAAATTAAATGTAAGAACTTATCAAAAAATAGAAAAACAAAAATTATTTTTAAGTTATATTTAAAATACTAATTTTTTTCTTCTATAAGAATATCCCAAGAAGTTATTCAAACTGGACCTAATATAAGATTAAAAAAATGATGTGTAAAAAAAAATTAAACACTTCCACACTCTACATGCAAATACTGCCCAAGAATCCTTTAATCAAAACTAAATCATTAGATTCATGAAAGAAAGACTGACTGCACATTTAAGTAAGTTGAAGAGAAACGGAAAAATACAAAGGAGGAAACCTGAATTGATCTTTTGGCCTTTTGAAGAGAACAGTCAACAATCTCAAATTCATCTTTCATCCACATATAAACAAAATTCTCAGCATCTAAATCTACACCGTTGACAGAAAGGGAAATGAGTACTCACAAATACACTGTCAAATATAATCCACTCAGGCTTAGTTGCGGGTAAAAGCATAATATTACTGTCAGATGAGTAGAAAAAGAAGCTACTTGGCCTTCTTAACAAAATTAAATGTTTGAAACTTGGCATCATCTCTGATGAAACTCCACCAAATGTAGGTTAGAGGAACAGTAGTGGCATGCCAAAGAGCATGTGCATCCCAAAGTCCTTGATATGGAGGGAAATCATATAATTCGAGGAGCATTGCGAGGCCGCCAGCAATAACCACCACCCAGAGCTTCCAACGTGAAGAATGGTGACTAAGACCAGCCCAAAGTGCCCAAATGGCAAGTTGTGCCACAGCCATCACTACACAAACTATCATATTCCACCCTGCAGAGTTAGAACGAGAATGTCATCAAATTAGCACAAAAAGATAACATTAGAAGAATAAATAAGATAAATGATAAAAAAAATGGCAAAGAAAAATTTAAAAATTTATCTCTCTATCAAATGCTTATAAAAACTCTCACATAAGGGTACTCTTGGTATAAGCATAACTTCAATTATGTTAATGGTCACTAGTCAAACCAAATCCAATCTACCTACTCAAAATTTAGTGTCACTACCACCAGATAAGTACAAAGAGTGGGTTGGAAGAAAAATGAGAAGTTAAGAATCTTGTCAACGATCTTGTGATGGAAGCAGAAGCCACAGAGAAGAATGACATGCACAATTAACAGCCAACTCAAGGTAAGTTTTTCTCAAAGTGAAAAATAAAGAAAATATGAATTCTACATTCTACTCAGCCACAGCAATAACAATATTTTAGAAGACAGGACATACCATAATCTAGTACATAGAAATTTATGTACATTACATGGGTGGTCACAAAAGCAATCAATGGAGCAGCAACCATTACTCTGGTAGCCTCGTCCCTGATACTAAAGGTTCTTAAGATAGCTAAAATGAGAGAGTATCCTAGTAAAATCACTGCAGATGAGTAGTCTAGTTTCTCAGTCAGATCAACATCTCTGCAGTAAAGTAGGAAACACAAACAATGAAAATTTAAGCTAACAAAGAAAAGAAGAAAAAGAAATAACGATTAAAGACAAATTTTAAAATGCCTAAATTGCTATATTCAACAATTAATGAGACATTTTTAGTAGCTTTTTTGAAACAAGAACGGGATAACCACTTGAAAACAATAAATAAGAGCCTCAAAATGAGTTTTATTATGAGAGGATTTTAATTTTCAAAGAAAAACAGCCTAAATAAATGTTAATGTGCTTTTAGAAAGGGCCAATTTTAGAAATATTCATATACTAAAAATTAACCTAAGAAACAGTTTCTGCATTGACATTTCCTTGCATATATTGTGACTCAATTTGGGCAACATCTTTTAGTAGGTGACTCAGACTCCATCATAAGAACTAAGAAGTACCACTTTGCCGACAAACTACAATAAAGAGCAGGATTGACACATCCTCAAATCAACTCTACGGTCAAATAGCAAGGAATTCATTTCAGAATAACTAAATCAGAAAAACATTAAACACAGAAATTTAGAATCAGTACCAAATATTGAAAATAGTTGTGCATGAGCAACTTACCGACTGTGGAAAACAGCACTCCAGAACCAGGAGTTTAGTGATAAGAGCCCATATATATGCCACAAACCAGAATACTCATAGTATGGCCTCTTTCCATCTTTTAGAGGCAATTTATAGTATATAAGAATGAAAAAGGAGACCCAACCATGAAAATGCATTGCAAGATTGAGAGCTGAGAAACCCACAGAAGCAGGTTCCTGATAAAAGGAAACATGACAGTTCTTTAAACAATAAGTGGTCATTGGATATTAACACCAAATGAAAATACATGGGCATAGGTTCGTTCCGGACATACCTGAATACCATAGATACGCCTGAATGGCCATTTACCATGATATTTGACAGGACTAAGGTTAAGTAACTCCTTTTCTTTCTCTCTATCAAGCATGCAGTAGTATCTGCAGTCACTTTGACAATCCCATTTTTTCCATCGTAGATAGAGTGGTTCTTGCATGAACCACAGGCGATCAATTAGTTCTCCATCTGAAGAAAAATTACAGTTTGGAAAGCATCTTTGCCCAACACATCCAGTTTCCTGACATTGTCTTACACAACCCCTGATATCCAAACCAAAACAAGAAATAAAACTAGTGTGTAGAAATCTAATAGAATATTTCACTTAAACCATAAAAGAAATAGTACTTGGAAAATTAATGAGGATTTCCTGCATACTACAACAGGTAGCAAGAACAACAAGAACACAAAAGTCATATTCTACAGAGTTAGACTATATGGATCATGCAACACCATTGGAATCAAACAAAACCCAAGTTCTAAGAAATATTATTCACCATGAGTCATGAGATCCCTGGTAATGATTTCCTCCAAAGTTCTTCCTTGCCTCTCTCTACCCCTTTTCACACTACAATAAGCAAACCTAAAAAAGGAACAAGTGATAATAAGTGATGAAACAGTAAGGAAAGATGTAAGGCCCCTGGAGTTGGTAAAGCCAGTTCAACTCAGTCATGGGCCTAGGGTGTTGAAGACTTATAACCGAAGGAATAAATAGGGGCTGCAACAGGGGGCAGAATGGAAAATACAAATAGGAAATGGTCATGCTACAAGTATTTTCAACCATTCCAACTCAATCATGAGCGGAAGACATATAGCCAAAAGAACAAAAAAGGGCTAGAGTAGGGGGGGCAAAATGGGAAATACAAATAGGAAATACAGAAGGCAGTAAAGAACTTTGATGATCATCAGCTTCTAGAATTTGAAATAGTGCAATCCTCAATAGAACTTTAGATTCTTACTACACTTGTAGAGGCAATGGTGTTCTGTTTCATGACTAAAAATACAAAAGAAAATGAAGTATTGGAACAGATTATATGCATGCACATGTTTGTGTTTGACCTAGAAGGAAAGGAAGCTATTTTTGGCTGCAAGGTGGAATTGGAATGGTTATCATGCTTCAATCAATTGGAATATCAACTAGACTTTATTTTAGCAACTACTCAAGGCATTTACTTAATCCTTCACCTTGAGGACAAGGTGAAACTTTACGAGGGAAGTATTGCTAGGAAACCCCCATTAATAGTTAGTTATGATATGTTAGTTGGGGACATATTAGTAGTTAGTTAGCGTCAATCAGTTATTTACTATATACTTGTTAGTTTGCTTGAATTAGTTAGTAGTTAGGCAGGTTGAGATTGTAGAAGAAATGAGGCACATTGCCTCTGTAAATAAAAACTTGCGAATTATAGTGTGAGAGTTAAGGCTTTTGGCTTACGAGGTGTAGTTTATCGAAGAATTGTTGAGTGTGTGTGTTTTATTATGTATAGTTGGGTGTTTCTCCTTGTGTTTCCTCATAAAGATACCTGATTTCTTCCTAAAATACCTACATTCCCGTAACTAACTCCTCTTTCTCTCTTGCTACCGGTCTGCTAAGTTGCCAACTGGTGATGATTTCTTCCTTCCAAAATAAACATGCCATAACTTCATTCCAGTGACAAGGCCTGGTTGTTATTGTTATTGTTATTGTGGTTACATTTGAAATTTGGTAACAGAATATTTAACATTTCCGAATTAGGCTCCCAAGTTTACCACTTGCTTGCTTAACACAGTTGAAAAATCAATTCTTCAACTTTCCAATAAAAAACACATGTTCAAATGAAAACATGTGATCTTTATAATTCATGCATGCACCACAATCATATTTAGCATTTCAAAATCAATTTTACTCAACTTTAAACCAAACAAACAAAAAGTATTTGGGAAAGCTACTTCATGGGAAAGATTGGAGCTAATTACCTGTAGCGCAGATCAGTATCACCAGCACTTGCATGAATTACCTCCACAGACCAAGAAAGCACCAAAAGGAAAGCAAATACATAGCCACCCATCATCTGATTAAACAACATTTAAAACACAAAGGTGGCACATCTATCTGATCAGCAAAAAATATGCAAATGCCAGTTTGCCACCAAAGTAAAACATAAACATCTTCTGCTAAAGTTTAACTGTATATGAAACCAAAATGCTCAAACAGTTTGACCTCATAACAAAAAAAAAAAAAGAAAAAGAAATCTTAATACCATTCTAAGATGTAGAGATATAAGATCAACATTATGATAGCAGCTAATGAGATAAACTAACAGTTATAATCAACAAATGAAAATTAATCAAACATTTTTAATCCATGTTTGCCAGAAACCCCACTGCTAATGTAAAAATATATACAAGTAGGAAAAGGAGGAGATAGGGAAAAAAAGAAAAAGAAAAAGACCCTCATCTGAAAAGTCATAAAAGGTGAACCTTGAACATTTTGATAGATCAAAAGTTAAAAAAAAAAAAAAAAAGTGAAGCGTTTAAATAGCTTGAGCAGCAAAAATTTCGAGACAATTTTCAGATGCATTTAATAACAGAACATGCGTGTGGCGGTTGATTGAGCTCTATTGAGAGAGAAAAAGAAAAACATTTGTTTTAACCTATCTGGCGCAGAGCAAGGTTTAAAATTTGAACTACTGTGAAGAGTCCAGCAATTAGTCCGCTATGCAAAGAAACAATGAGACGAGAACCTTTCTTTTGTTCATTAATTTTTTTTCCTTCTTTAGGTGAAGCTTACTGTGCATAGGTAATTATGGAAATTTAGCTGAAGTAACAAATCCAAAATTAAGGTTGCTTCAAAAGTTCGAATTAGTTCATTTCATCTCCTTATGTCTTAAAATCAATAATGAAGTATTCAAAATTAGCAGTTGGTGATACTGAAAGCAGAAGAGAGCAGAGAAATGGCCTTCAAAGACTTATGTCTTGTTACTTACCATAGCCAAATGGTTTATTTATATCAAAATGAATTAAAGTTTCATCTCTTAGGGAGGAGAGTGCAATTTGAAGATTGAAGAGGTGGTGTAATTTGAGTATCTCTTAAGGAAGCAGTGTGATTTAACCTAAAAATAAATATCCATGCTGCACAACACCAGGATATATAGATATGAGCTGTGCATAGACAAAATTGAACAGATAAGTTTGAAAGATATCCCACATGCCCAAATGAGTTATAAAAAGACACTTGTAGTTTAAATAGGGACAGATATTCTGCAGCTCAAACTAGAGTACATGTTAGGAGCTAGGAGAGAGGGAAAGGAAAGTTAGTAGTTATTATAGTTAGTTAGTGGAACGAAATCAGTTAATTAGAGGGGATTGTGAAGTAAATAAATAGGATGATGCAAGGGAAAAGCAGACAGATGTGTTAACATTTGTAAATTGAGCTTTAGCTCTTTGTGAAAGGAGAAATCCTTTGTGAAGGGGAAACCCTGGGGAGAATTTTATTCTTCATTTTCTGTTTTGTTCTTCAATAAAGTTTTACTTCTTTAAATCTTCTCTATTTTCCATTTTATTTACTTTGGGTCCCTAACAGTACAGGTGACTGTAACATAACAGTCACCAACAGATTTCATATTCAACTTTTTGTCCACCATGTCACTCACACAACTATTCCACACCAAAGTGGTTAAGAGAAATTGCTATTTCTGTGCATTGTTTAGTAATGACTAAAACAGATAATAAGAAGGGCTTTCAAATAGTAATTATCACATTTTCAAAACTGCATTCATTTTCAACCTAAGAATAAAATAAAATCCACGGGTAGCATTATTTCACCTTCACTGTTGAGCTAACCGGACTAGAATGTTTTGAATTCAACTTTTCAGTTGCTGATTAGTGATGACTTAATTAAAAGATGAAAAGCCATCCTCATTTTGTCTTCCATCATTCATTAATTCATCTTTAGTCCATCAATTTATCATCCAACACATATTTTGCTATACTGAAAATCATTCTAAAAATGTATTCTTATCTAGATGCAGTATGATAAAAGAAAATGATGAGGGTTCCAGCACATGTAATGCATCAGCTACATTCCCCAGTAGGGTTTTGTTGATTACAACATTGATTCGTTGATATTAACATTAAATTAAAAACTTTCTTTAACAAAATGAATAGCATTATATCTCATTCCTTAGAAGTCTGAAAAACAAAGTTGTTTCCAGGAAAACTAGTTTTATAAACCATGAAGTGTTCAGGACAAGATGTGCAATACAATTACAATTGACTACTAGAAACAGAGAACTGCATAGTTGTGTGACATTGGTAGGTGTTACTTCATCAACCAACATACTTTTAAGGCTCTATCAATATAATGTGAAGCAGTCAGGTAGTCAAGGATATGAATTCATCGCCTGAAATCATTGTTTAGCACTAGGCAGTAGGTGAGATCATGAGTTCTTCCAATTTATAGAACACTTACGCAAATGAAAACAAACTCCAATATGACTCAAATGTAGCAACATCTTTTTTTGAGGCATACAGTAATACAATTGGATCAAAATGTTGAGGCAGATAAAATAACAATCAAATATTTGATATTGCTTATAATTATATATCTTCTTGATTGATAGCTTGAAACACATGCCAGACAATTTTTCACTATCTAGCAAAATTGTAAAAGCATAGGAAAGGACAGGAAAGTGGGAAGTGCTCTAGCAAAAACTAGAGTAGCAACTGACAAATTCTGAAGTCTAAAGACAGACCAGAAACACAAAAATATAAAATATTCACCTTTGCAAAATTTCGGCTTAGCATTTTCACTGTTGCTGCCAATTGGTCTCTCTCCTTCGTAAGCTTTATCTAAAACCAAACAGTAGAACACAAAATCACCTACCATCAACTCAACACTTCCCTCCCATTGAATACCACCACCTTACTAATTTGTACAAAAATTATAAATTTTCAAAATTTTCCACACAAACACGAACCTTCCCATTCACCCTCTCTTCCACTCACGTTTCTTGGTTCCTTAAAACTGTCTAGCCTATAATCAATAATGATCAACACTAGAATGCTCGAAAAGAACTAAAATATTTTCGTTCCATTGAAAAACAAGACACACAACAATCTACAATAACGGTTCCCCCATGTTCATCCCCTCTCCACTCTTCCACACACACACAGACAACGACTATATCCAGTGAGGGTATGAAAGTAACAAACTGCACACAACGGACAGTTAACATCAAACGCATGTTTGGCAAAAGATTTTCTTTTTAAATAATTATGTTTTTCAAATAAACAAATAACTACTTATTTCTTTGTAAGAGTAATTTTTGAAAAAAAACAAAAAAGCTATTATTTTTCCCAACTTGAACCATACCAAACACTTGTGGAACCCGCACTCAATTCAAGAATAGTTACACTCCTTTCCTCTAATTTAATTACGAATTAAGAAAAAAAGAAAGAGTGATAAAAGGAGAACATTTTCGTTGAGGGCGGAGTTCAAGGTGGAGTCGGCTTGGTGACAGGCGCGAAAAGAGAAGAGAGACGATCTTCAAGGTCGTGGATGAGTCGGTCTTTTTCTAGAAGCTTCTGGCGAAGGCGAGAAGCGTCGGATTCGAGAGAAGAGACTCTTGAGGCGATGGCAATGGAAGTAATCTTGCGAGGCAGATCGAGCTGTTGGTAAGGATCCGTGGGAATGACCGATAGAACCTCATCGGGTAGGTGGAAATCCACCACATTAGAAAATATGTTTTTATTTTTAATTTCTGAAAATAATTATTTTTTATTTTAGACCTTAAATTTTTACAATTTTTTATTTTTAGTCTTTTTTTTTACTGATTTAATCCATTAAAAGAGTGTTAGTTAAATGCCAATTTTTGGTTAAACAACATTAGAGAAAGACTAAAAAAATAATTTACTAAAATATGAAGTCTAAAACTATAAAATATTATTTGAGAGAACTAAAATAAAAATATATTTAAACTTAGAAATAAAAGGAAAGGGAATAGAATGCATGGGAAGGTATCCCGAAGACATTATTACAAAGTGGGAACTGTATTTTTATGCTAAGTATTGACTGAAGTTGGCAATAGAGAAATCCAAAATAGAATTCAGAATTGGGGTACTATTGCAAGAGGTCCAATAACTTGGGAGTATTAGAGCCCAAACGCAAAACCTATTTCACCTAAATTGAAGTTCTGCTTCACTTCGTATTGCTGAATTCAGGTTTGGTGATCCCCATTCATCACTTCTAGTTTTTTTTATCAGCTTTTGAGCAGGTTCTGGAAAATAACTTAAAAAATTCCGTAAGTATTTCTAAGTTTGTACACACATAAATAATTCGTCGTTTCATAATACCCTGTCAGAGATAACAAAAATATAAAATCTAAAAAGCTAAGCTTTTGAATTTGTTTGATCATGCACGAAACTTGCTTGAGAAAACTCCGCAAAGAGAAATCCCTTGAAATAAAATAATAATCTATGAATAAAATTGTTTTTGGAAAATATTAGAGGAAATAACTTGCTTCACTGATTGGTGTTGGTCTAATAATAATCTTTCATCTTCTTTGTGCAATTCTTTTTGAAGGTGTGAATCAACACATAGAGGACTTACCTGGTTCCGGCCTTAGAAGTCAATATTTTATGCAAATATTAAAACCAACCATACACTAATGTTGGTCTTTCAAGCACGGTCCATTAAACATCTAGAAGCTTTTACTCAAAGATGTATATCTAGATTGTCCATTACACTCTATGCTCGTTACTCGGATGCTCCTTCCAAGAAATCTAAGCTTTCTCCTTTGCAGGTTGGTACTAAACACTTTCCTACCACTTACTTAATGCACACAAAAAAGGGGCATATTGTGATTTACTTGTTTTTAGGAGAGAAGAATGATAGACCAGTGTAAGATATTTGCAAAAGCAGGTGATGGAGGTAATGGTTGCTCGAGCTTTCGCAAGGGCAGACCTGATGGTGAGTTCTCCTTACTTCTCTTTATTATTATATCTAGCCAAGGTTTTGTATTGTCGCTATGATTACGGAGCAATGCAGCTCCAATTGCAGCTACAGTGAGATTGTAGAGACTAGAGACCTCCAAAACTGTGATAAAGTAATTTGAAACTCAGTTTATAGCTTATAGTGAATTCAAAATTTTATTTTTAATTTCTAATTCTGTTTCTCACTGTCGGATCTTTTCATGTTGTCAATTTTCATTTTAGATTATTCAGTAGTCAGAAATGTGCTATTTCAAATACTATCAGAAATGTGCTATCTCAAATACTATTATCGGATTGATGTTAGGAAATCTTGATGGTGTTCAATATAGCTAATGACAATGCTACATGGTGCCTGTGTTTAATGTAGGTGGCAATGGTGGGAGAGGCGGTGACGTGATTCTGGAATGCTCTCCCAGAGTTTGGGACTTCAGTGGTTTGCAGCGTCACCTGGTATGCACTTGTCTATTTCCCCAAAATTTTTTGAAATGAAGAGTTTTTTTATGTTTAAAAGATCATTGATACTAATGGTGATTTTGTAGATAGCAGAGAAAGGGGGACATGGATCATCAAAGATGATGATAGGAACCAGAGGGGCTGATAAGGTAATTGATTTTTAAATATTCTTTCAGCTTTAAAAGTGTTTCATAATTTTCTTTTCTTTCGGTTGGTCATGTTTGCAATACAAAATTGCAAGTTTATTCCAATATCATATATAATGCTTTAATAGGTTGTCCGCGTACCGGTTGGCACTGTTCTTCACCTTGTTAGTGGTGATATTCCTTCTATAGTTAAAACCCAATCCTCAACAGATGTAGACCCTTGGGAGATTCCTGGTGCACTTGTTGATGATCTTCCTGACCCTTGCAATGGTTCTATCTCCAATGTTAAATGTGGGGAAGAAGTCAAAGCAATACATCCTACTAGTCGCTCCTCATCACGAGCTGCTGAAACAAATGTTGAGAAATCTGAAAAATCAGGACACGTTGCATCAAAAGCTGTATCTTCTCAACCTTCCACTTCTAAGTGGACTGCCGAAAATGGCACAGAGAATAGAGGAGATATACTATACAATGTTGCTGAATTCACAAAAGAAGGTCAAAAAATTCTCATTGCTTGTGGAGGTGAGGGTGGTCTGGGCAATGTGTCTCTTTCCAAGGATTCAAAGAAGCCTACGACTGTGAAGGAAGGGGCATTTCAACAGCACATATCTAACCTTCAGGACTCTGACACTGTTTACTCCTCCCTGCATGTAGGTTTACCTGGTTCTGAGACTGTTCTTATATTAGAACTCAAGAGCATTGCTGATGTAAGCTTTGTGGGAATGCCTAATGCTGGTAAAAGCACTTTACTTGGGGCTATATCAAGGGCCAAGCCTACCGTTGGTGACTATGCTTTCACTACTCTTAGGCCAAATTTGGGGAATCTGAACTATGATGATCTCTCAATAACTGTGGCTGATATTCCTGGACTCATAAAGGGTGCACACCAAAATCGTGGACTTGGACATGCATTTCTGCGCCACATAGAACGCACAAAGGTTCTGGCCTATGTGATAGACTTGGCTGCTGCTATAGATGGAAGAAAAGGAATTCCACCATGGGAACAACTGAAAGATTTAATTCTAGAGCTCGAGTACCATCAAGATGGTTTATCCAATCGACCATCCTTGATAGTTGCAAATAAGATTGATGAGGAAGGTGCAGATGAAGTGTATAAAGAGTTAAAGAGAAGGGTCCAGGGTGTTCCCATATTTCCTGTGTGCGCTGTTTTGGAGGAAGGGATAGCAGAGCTTAAGGCTGGCCTTAGAATGCTTGTCAGTGGTGAAATGTCATACAGACTTTGCCTAGATCAAATTGTGCTTGGTTAGATTGTTATTAAGAAGGACAAAATCCTAGGTATAGTTCCTGAGATGCTTTTGGTGCTATTTTTCACTCAAAATTAGAATTTGAACTTGATAAAAGGTGGACGTTTGATGTTTTTTCTAAAGGAGAGATAACACGTTGAAATCGGAGAATTATTCTCTTGCAAATGCAAAGCTGGCCGAAGTAGATTCATATCGGATCCAAACTGCCCATAAATCATAATGTGCACCCTAACATAATTAGCATGAAGTCAGCACAATGAAATGCTATGACTCAAATATTAAACTTTAGTCATTTTAACAACCCTTTAACTATATGAAATAAGACCTCTTAGATCTCCAAATGAATTGTCATAAGAATTCCACGAGGGAGTTTGATTTTTTTTAAAAATATATTTTTATTCATAATGATATATCTATTCTAATTTAATTTTAATTAGATTTTTTAATAATTACAAAAGTATCACAATCTTTTTCGCTTTCTTATATTTTGAACATCTTGTGAAGGATATATTTTATTAATATCTTAATAAAAATTAAATATGAACTAAAATGACAATAAGATAGAGTTTTTATAATTATTAACGAGTGTGACTAAATTTGAGTAAATTTTTAGAAAATTTTGTTATAATAGAAGCAAATTAATATAAAAAATTTAGTTTCAATAAATTTTTAGAAAAGTGTTCAAAGAAAAGAAACTTAATATAAAAAATAAATAATTTTTTACATAAGTTAGAAACAAATTATTTCCTCAACATTTAGAGAAATTAAATGAGATTTTCTTTAATAGAGAAGTAATAAATTGATTTTAATTTATGTAAGAAGTTTGATTTGTTTTAATACTTAATTTTTTTACTCCTATAAGCCCTTATTGAAAAGTTTATTCAAATTAGACCTAAGTTAATTTTAACTTATAAAAGAAGTTTAAAGTCCAATTTAGATAAATTTATTTAGAAGTTTTTATAAAAAAAATTAATATAAAAAATGAATAACATTTTTTCCATTAGTTAAAAATAACTTTTATTTTTTATTTTTTAAAAATTTTTTTCATTTAAATTTTCAAAAAATTAAAAATATAAGTTAATTTTAATTCATGAGAAAAATTTTATTTATTTTTATATTAATTTTTTTCTTTTATAAAGACTTTTATAGAAGTTTACCTAAATTGGACCTAATTCATTTTATTACTTAATGTTTAAATTTTATAAATACTTATTGAGAAATTTATTTAAACTAGACCTATCTCTATTTTATTAACCAAGCTTAATTAATCAAAAACCAAACAAAAAAAGAGTTTAAAAACTAAATTTTTTTTATTGGATTTGATTTCGAATCCCATCTTTGAAAACTAATCTAATCCAATACAAATCAAATTTATATGCACATATAATTTTATTTATAAAATTAACATCTCACTTATACTTATAAAACTATATATCAAAAAATTATAATCTCTAACTATATTTAACAATTTTATTTTTAAATTTATATCATATTATTATGTTTCATTAGTAATCTGTTACATGTGTAATAATAAGAGTCATTAGCTTACCCAAATTATTATAAGAACATATTTAATGATAATAGAAAGAATCATTCATTTTAAATTGCTAAAATATGTTCTATTGTTAATAAGTAAAAGAGATTATAATAAGATTGTCGCACAATTACTTTGAACACCAAAGTCATCAACTTACTTAAATAACCATTCTATTCTGTAAACATGCTGTCCTAATTTGTCAAATAAATTACAACATAATTAATACAAGAAGCAAAATAAGACATCATTGCAAATTTAAGATCAAATTCAACTTATCCCAACTTTTATGTATGTCATTGTAATGTAATAGTTCTCTTTCATTTTTCTTCCTTATGTGATATACTTGGAGCGCTAAATAGTTTTCTTTCATTTTGCTTCCTTACGTGTAGAAGTGTTAAATGAGCCAGCCTTAACTAATTTAGTTCTAACTCATTTGAGTTACGACTAAAAAGTTCATAGAGTCAAAAGACTTATCATGTAAAAAGTCCATAAAATTAAGTGAGTTAGGACTAACTTACAAGTAATTATCTTTAAAAAAATTATTATAATATATTAAAATATTTATTTTATATAACATATTTTTACTATAAACTTATAAATAAATAAAATTATTTAAAAATAGATAAAAATAATTAATTTGCAGTGTCATTTGTTGTCTCCAACCTACTTCCATTCTCTTCTCCATCCACACCATTATCAAACCAAGAAAAAAAAAAATAACAACCATTCCCTTTCTTGTACATATACTTTTCAGACCATCAATTTTACCAATCAAACAAAACATCTTATTCGTACTCCATTAACAAAATACTTACCGTGTAGTTGGGTCATAATAAGTAATGTCTTAGGATTTGCTTGATACCACGAAACTCTTATACATTCCCTTATCCTATATTCAAGTATCAAGATGAATAAACATTGCCATTTGAGCTTCGATTGCAAACATCAAACGACCTGAACTCAAATTTTTATTTGTATCATTATTGCTTGCTGTGGTAGAAGTACAAATATAACAAAATTCACATCAATGGTAAAATTTGAAAAAAAAATTGATTAAGAAAAATTTTAAATTGTGTCTTCTACTTAGATTGAAAACAATCTAGACTGACATCCCGTGTATTACTTAACATGGCAAGTAAGAAAAAATTAACAATTTTTAGTCATAAGTTAACGTGAGGGACTAAACTGCTAAATAACTTACTATATGAGGAGACTAACAGAATAATTCAAATAAGTAAGATACCAATTTACAAAATTGATAATGTGCGAGGAATCAATTTGTGAGTTTATTCTATAAATATATATTGACTACATTATAAATTAAAATACATAATTATATATATTAATATAAATTGATAATTTAATTTTTAATTTCTACTTTTATTTATTAATTTATGTAAATATTTATTAATTATTATATTTCAAATATATATTTATTTTCAAAGTATAAATATAATGATTGTGAGATATTTTAAATATATATAAAACATTAATAATTAGTACTAATATGATACTAATTAATAAAAATATATTAATATTAATATATTTTAAAATTTTATTATTTTAATAAATCTTATTTATTTTATCTTTTATGTGTTCTTATATACTAATTAACTTTTGATTTTTTTTTGAGTTTATTAATTTTTTCTTGTCTATACACTCTTAAAAAATGTTTGATGTAGAAAAATAAAGACAGTTTTATTTTAAAGTATATATATTTTTTATATTTAAAATATAATTCTTTCTAATTTATTTTTAAAAAATAATTTAATAAATATTATAAAAAAATATTCGTGCATATGTAAAATTGATTTTAATTTTGTATTAAAAATTAAGTTTGATAAGTATTATATGCTCAATATTATTATATATTTTTTTCCTTTGTCTTGATTTCCCATACATTTGGACTTCAAGTTTGACTCTATGATTGTTTGTGATTTTTTGGGCTTTTAACTTTGATTAGAAAAAAAATGATTTTTTAAAATATTTTTAGATAATGTGTAAATTACATTAAAAATATAATTTATAATTATATTAAATAAATTTTCTTGATGTTTTTAAAATTAAAATATTTTATTTTAATTACAGCTCTCTAAAAATATCGTTATAAATATTTTTATTTACATTAAAATATACACTTATATTATTTTTTAAAAAATTCAATGTATTGTCAAACTCCGAAAAAATAAATTTTTTCATAATTGTTTTGTGTTAGTTTTGTTAAAAATAAATTTTCACAAAGTCATACTTTTATTTTAGCTATTGATGTTAAATTTATCAATTTTGTTATATTTTATGTTATAATATATAATAATTTTATTTAACATATTATATATATTAAACTTATTTTTTGACAATTTAAAATAAACTGTGCAACCCAAGGTGTTAGACCGAGTTAAAAGTAGAACAAACCACCGTCATTTTAGATTCTCTCTCTTTTGTTGTGATATTCAGATTCATTTTCTTTTCACTTAGCCGTTAAGCCTTCGACCACGTTACGACACCGCTCCTCAACGAAGTTAGGGCTATTTCTGTAATTTTACAAAATTCGACCGTTAGAGAAATTCAAAACCCCGCATCAGAAACACCCTTTTAATTACAACTTTCACACACTATTCCTCTCAAATTCTGAATCATCTCTCTCTCTCTCTCTCCAACCTGCAACACATCAAATGGGCAACAGCAACGAAGAACAACAACAGAACACAACGAGAACATCGATCATGGAGTGGAAGCACATGCACCCACTTCATCAAATCGCCGAAACATCCACACACAAGCTTCTTCTGAAGCAGTGGCTTAAGGAAGAGGAACTCATCAATGGCCGCATAGCCCTTAAGGAGACCCAAATAGATTCCACACGCAAAGAGATCACAATGCTGTACATCTTCTTCTTCCTCTTCCATTCGACCACCCTTATGCTCCTCTTCAACTCTCCCTCCTCTTCCTCCTCTTGCCACAGATCTTGGGTCCCTTCGCTGTGCTCTTTGCTTTTCTCACTTGGAATCATATGGGCATTGAGGTACAAAACCGATGTTGAGGCCCACGTGGAGAAGATGCTGTCACGTGAGAAGGAGGATAAAGGGTTGTTGGGGAAATGCGTGGAGGAACTGAAGAAGAAAGGGTTGGAGTTTGATTTGTTGAAGGAGGTTGATGCTTTGAGGAGGGCTAAGAGTTTGAGGGTTGAAACAAAAGAGGTTAGGAAATGGTCTTCGAGGGATTTTGTGTCCTTGTTCTTCTTCTCTATGGCTTGTTTGTCTCTTGCTCTCACAAGGGTCATCTTGTGCAGTTAGTGATTGGGCTTGGAGGGTGGTGAAGGTTTGATACAAATCTGTTCTTAACATATTATCAGTTGGGTTCTGTTAATTATTATTATTATTGCAAGGAGGGGAGGTGCAGAATGTACTGTTCTGCTTTTAGTTTTTTTGTGTAATTTGAGAATACAAAGTTGAATTTATGGAATAAAGGTGTAATTCCTTTCAATTTTGATGTGTTCTGAGTTCTAATTTCTTATTTATTGTTCAGGGTTTTGGTGCAGTAATTATCAAGGGTGGTAAGGGCAGAATGTACTGTTCTTTCTTTTCTTTTCATTGATGATAGGAAGTTGAATTTATGAAACAGACTCATAGTTCCTTTTGTATTTTAGTGCGATTTTACTTGTTATGCTTAGAATTTGACCTTGTTTTTTTTTCCTGATCTAGAAACTGGATTTGCATAGTTGGGGAAACTAGAATCCAATTTTGGTTTTGGTTAATTTTGGTGGTGAGTGCAGAATGTATTGTTCTTTAATTTATAATTTCTTTTGAATTACAGTATGTTCTATGCTTAGACCTTAATCTGTTTTTTTTTTCCTTTTTTATTTCATCTTCAGATTTAGAAACTAGATTTATTGAATCTGGAGAAATCCATGATGCTTGATCAATTTGGGCGCCGTTGTTATGCTAGTTATGCTTTTTTTTTTTTTAATCATTCTTTTATCCTGTTATATAGAAGCTGGATTTACACGATTTAAATCGAAGTACCTAGCACAAGCAACGAATGCAGTTAGTTTTTGCATGATTTAGCTTGATAAAAAATACTCTATTTTTTGCCCTGAGCTGTACAGTTTTTATGATAATTTACTATTTCAGATAATTTGATTTATACCTAAATTTAGTACTACTGTGTTTTAGTTATTATTCATATGTATGCAATTTTCAAATTATTATGAGTTAAATTAAATTACCTTTTTTATGAAAATAATTTTAAACTGGACATTTAGTTCTCACACACCTCAATATGTTTGAGGTTTATATCATATATATGCAAGGTTATATGGTAAATGGGATCTTAATCATCTTCTCAAATAAATAAGATTAATGTCTCTTTATTAATTTAAAATTAAAAGGGTCTACATTTGATGAAGTTTAGAAATGCATATATATGACTTAAATGAAGTTAAAATTTGTTATGTTCAAATAATTTGTTAAAAGTTCATTACTCAATGTGTACAGCTATAAAAACATATTATTTAAATAAATAAAACAACTTATATCTTTTATTACTAATGAAAAACTTTTCTTATCCAAATAAGAAACAGACAAAATATTCTTACTAATAATTGACACATAATAACAATTACTTGTGCTTCATTTCTCATGCGGAGATTTACTTTGCCCTACACCAGTAGTCTACTCCTTTTTTAATCATGCACATTAGTACAAAATAAGAGACTCACATCTAATATCTAATACCTAAGTTGTAGAGGTAAATAAATTGACTTTTATAACATAAACACTTCAAGTGACTTTCTTCCGTTTTTTTTTTTTTTTGTGCACTCCTCCAAGTACTTTGCACAATCTCTCTTTCAATGTCCTATTTACCACAATAGTAATATGTTCTTTTCTTGGCTACACCACCTGCAAGTTTAAAACCAAAGATGTTAGGCTTATTTTTGCCCTTCTCTTTAATTTGTCCTTAGGCACATGTTGTTTCCTGACCTTTCCTTTTTTCTTTTCCCAATTGAACCATCAAAATGGTCTTAGTAATGTTTTGCTCAATAGTTCTTAACGTGCTTAACAGCTTTGGCAGTGGTTTATCAATTTTGTTTATGTTATGTAGTTCATGACGAACTGATGATAACATCTTAAGCATACGAGAACTAACTAGACTCCCTTCTGCCATCTTATATTGATAAAGGATATCTTACGCCTTAATTTCATACCTAACTTAACCTTGATAGAGTCTTTTCAAATGTATGATCATATTGTATACTTCTATGTTTTCATGCAATTATGAAACTTAGAATTCATGATAGCCAGCATAAGGTAGCCAACGGCTAAAGCATCATTTTCTTATAAGCATCCTTGTCAACTTTAGGAGCATTTGCAGTGGGATGTTTTAGAATTGGCTATTTCAAGATATACAACTTTTTCTCATGTTTGAAGATAATCCTCAATTTTTTGTATCAGTCTAGGCAATTTTTCCTATACAACTTGTCATTCTCAAGAACTAATCATAATGATAAGTTACTGCAAGTGTTTGTCGCCATGGTTATCTATTATCAACAGAAATAAACATGCATATAAGTATCACAAAAAATATCTAAATATGACCTGTTTAACTAAACATGTCTCACTATATTTTAATACAAAGCAATGACCCTAAGTGAATAAAAAAAAAATGTCATTGCTAGATTCTATAGTGAGACAAAGCCTTATTGAGAAATGATACCATACTTACAAGATACATTAAACAAATTTGTCAATTGCTCACTTAATAAATTAAATGTTCTTTAAAGTTAACTCAATTGTACATTAAAAAATTGTTAAAGTTATATGAAGTACCTTCTAATTTAGGTAGTATCTAAAAGTGTTAACTGACTCGTAGTGTCGAATAAAGTTTACTTCTAGATTTTGAAATGTGTACAAAAAGCCTTAGGAAATAATTTGAGATTTAGTTCAGCTTAGAGAAATTTTGTGTGCAGGTGAATCACTCCAAAAATAGTACCAACTTCCTTGTTCCTCCAAATGAAATCTTGTTCCTCATTTTACTTATGACCCATAAAATCTTATTTTACTTGTTTAAAGAAATGTTCCTTGAGCGTAAACTTAATGCTCATGGCAACTTGCCTCGCACAAAGTATAGAGGCATGTGTCAATAATAATCTCCAATACACTAATAATTCACAGGGAGATTGACCATACCCGTTTCAAAAGTCCACTTTACTAAAATTCTTTCTTCTTCTGCTCTCCTTAAGAACACACTCTTTATGCCGATCCCAAGATATTTATCTATATTTTTAAATTTTTTCCCGTCAACAAAATTTAAAGTGGTAGCATTCAAATTATCGGTTCTTGATAACAGTAAAATCTGTAAGAAATTTTAAATGACTTGGTAAAATTAATCCTAATCGTATAAGCTTCATTCATCAATAACTTCATTAGAGTAGTAAAAATGTACTGGGCAAGCTTATAAATATTAAAGTTTGTTTCAATGCTACCAATTTGTACTTGCGTACCAACCAAAACTGCAGTCTCCAGCATAATTTTCCTTAAAACATGGATCATGCTTCAATTCTAGGTCAAAATATTCAATACTTGGTGACAAAAGCTGTCGTCATATCTTTAACTGAGGCAAAATTAGAGTCTAACCAACTAAACCGACTCCAAATAGATAAAATTACAACACTCATTTTCTTCTTTAGCAGAATTTCAACAATGATCCACCACTTAAAAATATAGGGTCTTATCCATTGGATGGTACATGGTAATATTTCCCTTTACACATGCACCTGTAAACAACAGGGCAAGACTCTGCAATCAAGCACTTGTAGCTCACTATAACCCTCTTGCAGGGAAAGCATGATCCACATGCATGAGAACAATCCGGTAAGGTAGAGCCAGTTGGGTAAAGTTCCATTCCCATGTCTTTCTTTGCTCCTTTCTACAAAGTGAAAGTAGGCAAACAAACAAACAAACCATTGCATTACTATTCACTCATTCAAACATTAAATCTCTTTTCAACAACATTAAATTCAGTTCAGATACCACCAATTGAGAATAGTTCAACAAACCTCTTCATTTGCAGGTCTTGCTTCTTGCAAGTTCATCAACTTAACTGGAAGTTACAAATGAAACCACATATGAATGGTTTATACTAAATAAAAGCCCTTTGGGTAGAAACATTATAACTATCAACTAATATATATTTTCAAGGGATTCCAAGCTGACATTTTCAATTTTAAACCTCATTCGAAGTGAATTGAGAGGAGTATAAGTTACAATTATCATGTAAATATATCCAAATTTAGTTACAACTCATTTACACTGCCACATAGCAGTGAACAGTGGATACCATAAAAAACTGAATTCAAAATATTCTAGTGCATGTAATCTCTTACAAACATTACTATTCACTCATTCAAACATTTACATTGCAAAAAGTTATAAAGCATTAAAATAGATATCACTTACCATGATTAGGGATCACGCCAAGGCTCCAACCATTAGAAAGTAACATGAAGAAAGACACAAGAAGGAAAAACTTGTAGGTCTCCAGTGAGAAAGTACTCATAGTTTCGGAAACTAAATGATCCTCATTAGTTGAAGAAATCCATGCAAGTGAGCAAGAAGATAGAGATGTAACTTGGCTACGAACTTGTTGATGACCAGGTAGAATTATATACATGTAGGTGCAAAGGTACTTTTAAATGTGCAATGAGGTACATCTACTGTATTTCACATGATCCACGGCCTTCTTTTCAAGACATCACATGTTTTCGTGAGTCACCCAAAATAAACTAAAATGTTATTATTAATGGAAGCTATAAATGAACAAGGACATGCATATAAGAATGTCAATATTAAATTTCAGACTTGTTCATACTTGCATTATAACTCTTGTTTTGGGCCAAACAGATTGGGTCACCAATGTTCCATTTATTACAATAAGAGTATGTTTTAAAATTGAGAGATTCTTTTTACACCTTTTTTTGTTTTCAGAAATTTAATTTTAAAATATTATTTCAAAAAGTAATTTTTTAAGTGATTTACTAATTATTTTTTGTAATTTACTTTTCAAAATATATTAAGTTCTCTTTTGAATATTATTTTCTAAAAGTAATTTATAAATTATTTCTCAAATTTAATTTTAAACATAAAAAAGTCGTAAATCTTATTAGACATAATATCAAATAAAAATGGATCCATCTCATTTTACTGAATAACACAAAAATATGGAAAAAAAGCATTAAATTTATCCTTAAAAATTAAAAACACTAGTCTTAAAATTATAAAAATTTTGTTTAATACTTAAAATTTATCAAACTATTCTTATTTAATCTGATCCTTATTTTATTTAATAATTATAATTTAAAAAAATTATTCATTATTTGCAAAGAAATTCACGACTCCACTAACCCCTTTGGACTATAACTTGTATCATTTTGTTTTTATTAAATACTTTCCCGCTTCCAAAACAGAAATTAAAAAATAAAAAATAAAGAGGAACATCCCAATATTATATAGTAATGTAGAATTAACTATTAAAAGTCAATGAGTGTGTGATTATAAAAAAATAAATATCATACAGTTTAGACAAAACTGCAGGTTAGAGTTTTCTCTTTTTTATTTGTTTTTCCTCCTTATCCTAACTTCCTCTCTTTTTTCCCATTCTTTTTTCATCTATCTTTCTCACTCCACCTCCATCTCTTCCCCTTCACCCTTACTCAACTTTCCTCATTTCTTTATTTCTTTTTCGCACTCCGCACCCCCACATAGTCTCTTTTTCTCTCTTTTTTCCTTTCCTTTGTTCATTTAACTTTTTTTCCTTTTCCCTCTTAATTTCTCCCCTCCATCTATCTTTGCTCTTGTCCTCATATCTCTTTCAGCTTCTCTTTCTCTTTTCTTTTTTTAGTTTTTTTTGTTATTTTTTTTTAGTTTAAGTAAAATTTTTTATTTTTGTTTAAGTAATTTTTTTTAAAATAAAAATAATTTTTTTTGGTTAAATTTACTTAAGTATATTTTTTTTAAGTTAAAATTATTTTTTAACAAATTTACTTAAACAAATTTTATTTTGCTTAAAGAAATACTGCAGGTTCCCATTCCTCCAAAACTGCAGAGGATCGGATCCGGATCCGTGAGTACAGTGGGGCAAAAATTAAAAAGTCCCTCGTTCAAGAAGTGGAAGTAAGAGAATGTTCTCTTACAAAAGCCTGGATTGGACCAACTACATGAAATTAACTTGTCGATTACGACATTCTAAATAAAATATGGAAAAATTTCATCTACCCCATTTAATCAACAAAGTTTGTTATTTTTTTATGTGAAATAATCACCACTTCTAATTTTATATCATCAGTGAATCTAAAGAGGACACCCTCTCAAATTTACTGATAATGTAATAAGCACCTTAAAATATTTTGCTTTTGAATAAATTGTTAGAAAACACAGAAAATATATTAAAATTGAAAACACATTAACAAAAAATATTGCAGACAAATAAATTGTTTTCTTTTCTTTGTGAAAATAATTGGCAGAATAAAACCAAAATACGTTCGTATTAGTTCGTATCTATTGTAGGTATATTCTTTTGATATATTAATTTTAAGACCTAATTACAATTAATGTCTCCCTAGTTTAGAAAATGTCTAACTTTAAGTATTAGAAAAGATCTATTTTAGGTATATTTAATTTTTTAATATATTAAATTCCTCCGCTTCGAAAATTTAACAAATTTTGTCCTCATTAATTTTCTTCAACCTAAAATTCTAAAATTTTTATTTTTTACTAAAGAATTTTCAAAATCGAATTGATTAAAAATTCGTCTGTTCAAAACTAACTAACCAAAATATCAAATTTTGTCTAAAAGAAATCTCTTTTTTTTTTCTGAATACAAATCTCATATCTTATACAATCTTTCAAATTTTATTAAGTTTTGGATAAAAAATAAAAATATTTAGAGTTTTAAATTGAAAAAACTTAACAGAGAGACCAAATATATATAATAAAAAATAAATTAAACTAGTTCAAAACAATTAGGAAATTAAAATTATAAGTGGAACAAAGTAAAAAGATTAAAACTATTATTAAACCTGCTATTAATCATTGCACATACATTATATGTAGCTAGTGTTTTTATTATGTTTATAGTCGATTCTTTTTCTATAAAATTTAAGCTGGGTCAAAATACATTTTAGGTCACCTTTTCAAGGTCGAAGGCACTTAGTACCCAATGAATTTGAAGAGTTAATGAATGGGGTTATAAATGATGGGTCTCAGTGTTTCAGGATACTGGAATTAATATATAATAAGTTTATTTAAAATGTTAGAATATATTGAAAATTATAAAAATAAAAATAATTTTATAATTTTAAACAGTGGTTAACATTTTCTGAGAATGAATTGGACGTGACAGTAATTATACTGAGGGGTACCTGACATAACCGTGAAGATCATGCCGTTGAATAAATGAACTGCCTTTCTTGTACCTAAAGCTACTGCTTCAGAGTTCGTAATCAATGAATGTACGTCACTTTTTTTGCCAGAGTTTATTTTCACTCTGAAATATTTTTTATTTTTTTATTTTTTATTAGTTAATTAAAGTATTAGTAATAATAGTCATCTTTGAATAATAAGTGACACTAAATATTTATTTTTGAATCACATAAATTTATCTTCGAAAGTTTGTTGTGTACGCTTATCAGTAGTATATATTATATCTAGTCTATAAAAAATAAAATATACCACACATTTTATTGCTTAATATTAAACAAGTGTTTTAAAGTAATTAAATTGAAAAAATTATTCTCATAAAATGGTCTGGAATGAGCTTAATTAACAAAATTATTATTATTTATACATGTTAAATCTAACTCTAAAGATTAAAGTTAAAAATTCTTATTATTATAATTATATATATATAATGGGTTTAAGAAGCCATTTTATCATTTTTAAAAAAATGTAACTTCTTAAACACTTATATAAATTTTAGGGTCAGTTATTGAAAATAGTCAAATGAATAATTATTAAATGATATAAAATATTATCAATTAAATAAAAATATGCATTAATATTTAATTATTAAAAATATAAAAGTTTAATTAGACTAAAATAACTTAATATAATTCAAAAAAATTCGAACGAATCGAATTAATTTTGCGTTAGGTTATAGTAAGATATCACATATTTAGAACACTCAAAACCGCATATTGCATAGTAGTAAATTTAGTTCAGAGTTTAGGGTCTTTAATTGATTTTTAAAAGGTCATTTTTAATGTAACGGATATTTTTATATTTGAAATAATTTTTATTTTTATTTGTATATTAAATATGTATAATAGATAATAAAATTAGTAATTTATTTAAAATATTAGAAAAATTATAACTATCAATTTAAAATTAAAAAATATACAATACACTTTTAAATTTATAGATATTATAATAAACACTTTTTTAAAAAGAACTTAAAAATTATATATTTTGAACTGTCTACTGATTTTTTTTTAAAATTTTCCTTCTTAACATAAAATTTGTGCACTTATATTTTGTAGTTGGAGACTATCAATTTTGTAAGACTTTTTTTATTTTAAAATTACTTGTATGATATACAGATTTATGAAATATATAATATAACAATTTTTAAATACATTGATAATAAATTTTTATTTATGATACATTTTAATAAGTTATTGTAGATTACTTAAAAACAGAATACTAAAATATTAATTGTATATATAAAAGATTCATTTGATATCAATTCAAGTATTACAAAAAATAATGATAGTAAGTAGCCCAAATAACATAAAAAAGCTCAATCTATGAACTCACAAATTATAATTATATTTGATGATATTTAAAGGCCTAAAAATTAGGAAATTAAATTTATGTATTTGAAGGACCGAAAAAGTTAAAAAATATTTGAGTATATTATTTTTCATATATTAATAATAATAGTAATATTCGTACTGGTAATCAATTAAAACAATACCAAATCTTAAAATCTTTTTATAGCTATAATCTTATATCAATTAAAAGAATTTGAAGATATATTTTTTTTCTCTTCTATTCAAAAGTATTAAAATCTTAATTAAAAAGTAAGATTTATTTATAATATGTTTTTCTATTAACTAATGACTATTATATAAACAAACATTTTGTTTTGTAAAATTAAAGTATATACATTTTCAAACTCATAAATATACAAATATTATGGTTCTGATGAACACTAATTTATGTGTTAAATATCATAAAATTGGAATTATCAAAACCATACTAAGGAAAATAACAAAATCAATGCTATGATAAAGTTTAACAAGACTTAGGATATAACCTTTATTATTACCAAAAAAAAATAAAGTACTTAACAAAATATTAATAATCAAACATTTATCAACATTCCAATAAAATCCTAATATTCCTTATTTTGCTAAAATAATTTACTGACTTCCTACAACTAAGTGCTCAAAAAATAAAATAAAACATAATTCCTAAAAATTAAAAAGAATGTGAGAATAATGTGAAATTTTCCTAAATAACATAATTAATCTTAAAAAAGAAAAACAACCCCAATATTTTGCATTATTTTACTTCTAACAAGAACCAGAGTCTCCGAAAGTC